CCAAAATTTCTGTGTTTATGTTCTGCGGTTATAATATGGTTTAAGATGTCACATGGGTTGATGACGTCAGTTACTCGAATCGCTTGAACGCGTTGGTTTTAACCGCGGTTTTGTTGCAAGTTGTTTATTTTAGAAAAGCCAGTATATAATTTCTGATTATTTTTATTATCACTTAATAATCGGTGCTTTTTCGTGTACAACGGTGTATGGAAAGTTTAAAAAAGAATCCTTTCATAATATTAATCTTAGAAATATTTTTTTCAGAAAAAAATTTTTAATGATGGAACCATGGCTTTGTAGCTATGATAACTTTCAATTCTCTAAACTTTCCGCATGTAAAAGAAAACATTTATTTATTTGGCAGAAATGATAGGAAAAAACGAAAAAGATATTAACAAACCGCATACAGGTGGACATCATCCAGTGAGTTTATATGGCCATATCTTAATATTCTTGTGGTATATGGCTACACAGGATACTTTGTTAAGCATAGAAACTAGATTTAAAGTGTTCCCAACAACAGTAATGATTATAACTAATAAGGTGCTCTACTTTATGCTAACACTGAAGTCAGCCTGTATCAACTTTCCCAAAAATGAAGCTGAAGTACAATAACAATATCCAATACCCGGCAAAATTCTAACTTGTCACATTTCAAATAATACCAGAAATATAAACTACTCCTGAGTTGGGTAAATACCACAATTTTGCGGTGATAACTATGACATATAACAGCTGATTCATCACGTCACGGATCTTATAACCAAACTGATAACCACACTCGCTTGAACGGATCGGTAAATGCCAAGCCAAAATGGTAAATACCATTTTTATTTGGTTATCCGCTTGATTTGACTATATACACTGAAGAAGGTTTAATTCCATGCTATTCAATGATGGCAACACGGTGACATGTGTGGTTGTTAGCAGCCATTTTTTGAGGGTGCGACACGGTTGCCAGATTGTGCATTAATACCCCGCAAACGTCTCCAGCCTCTACAAATAAATCTGAGATTAGATTAGATACTTTTATATATAGAAATGTGGTGGGGTATGGGAAATCTTATAACAGCAGGTGTTTTTAACATGTTGCGCTATCTTGACGAGTAAGTGCTTTTTGTATATTAAAATAGCAACGTCATTAAACACAGCTGTATACGATCACTGATATTTACTTACTAATCTAGAAGGTTCAGAAGAAAACATATACTGCAAATATCTAAATATATATTATTATATAAATCTCATACATGTTCCTACAAACAAATCTGTATTAACATTATTATGGTCCAGATGTTTTCATTCCCCAGCCTTTGTGGGCACCTGCTTAAATCAAAAATAGGAAAAATTGAACTGTGTTGATATGTTTCTACAATTCAGATTTCTTTTTTATTAGAACAATAATATTATTGTCCATGGATACCGACAGGAATTTTTCTCACGGGTGCTGATCATCACCAAGACATAACTTTTTGTGAAATTGTACCTGCACCCAAAATTTTTCGGTGAGCAGAAGTAGCAATTTTCTCAGGGGGGAATAATTCTACAAAATTCTTAAAGTTGTACACAAACCATGCTAAATATGCGAATTTTAAAGTCAATGTGGTCACTGAAAGAGACCTCAGCCCATCTGACACCACCCTGTGGGCACCCATGTTATTGTTCAATAACATATGGCATGTGTATCTACTTTGTAGTTTCATATGTGCATTCATTTCGGGCCTGATGAAGCCAACCAGCAGAAATACGTATCGCTCGGGTTACCTATCCTATTTTCTGCTCGAATCACTTTCCTCCTTTTGCGGATTTTTGCCCATTATTTCCCTACTATTGTTATATACCTTCTCGGCATGACCATATTCTATAGTATATATATATATATATATATAATATAGAGTATATAAAACAGGGTGGCCCCTACATGTGTGGACGGCATATTAAACATAAACAAATCCATTTTGAGAAGATCTATTTATGGCATGTTATACACGACATTTAAGGGCACATTTCTAAAATATTGACAATTATACAGTGTGTCCCAGTTTTAACCTACATATCAAAGTTTTGATTTCTTAAGTAGAATGCCTCAAATTTTATTGGATATTTAATTAGCTACTGAGATGTAAGGTGTACTGTCCAGAAAAACCGTTCTGTCAAAGGGTTTCATCTCACTCACTATTCCATGACCTCCATTTTGCGCAATCATCAAGTGGCTTCACGATGTAATGCTCTAATGTTTTTTAAATAATTTTAATCTGTTTTTAACTTGTTCTTGTCATATTTTATATAATTTTGACCATTGTACCATCTATCCAGCTCTCACCATGTTACTGGACGTTTCCCTCATTCAATACGTAAACAACAATTAGCAACAACCTCACATACTACTGTAAGTTGAGTCAATTTAAATTCATTTTACACTTTTGTTGCTACTGTTATCATTGTAATTGCAGCTCCTGTTGATGATGGAGCTAGAGAGAATTAAAAAAGTATAAAGAATCCTCTTTGCTTAAATTTTGTCGAAGTACCCAACAAAAGGCGGAAGCTTTAATTTTTCACCTAACTGGTCTAGACGACAATGACCACGTCTCAAGTTATATATATATATATATATAGTAGAAAGACACCTATGACAAATTTCTCACGGATATTTTTTTAACGCGGGAATATAGCATTAGGGCTATCTTCGGATAAAATACTTTAATCAATACTATTACATAGTAATTCATTACAAATTATTTTATTTCCTAGCGATTACACCAGCTAACACGCCAGATACTTTCTCCGTGTATACATCGACTGGAAGTTAGGTTATTCGACCCTTCTGATTGCTTTAACTTGGGACTGATACTTGTTTATTCAAGAGAACTAATCCAAATCGATTTATAATGGCAGAGCATAAGCTGACATGCTTGATCTGGAATCCACTGTAATACCAGCGATACTACTAAGAGTTCATTCTGCATGACCTATGCATGCACACTAAATGGGAAAAGACTTCTCATTTTGGATCATAGCAAACTACCTGCAACATTTGACTACAAGATAGTGGCAATATTTGACGTGAACGACGATTACATCAACTGCTTGTGCTGGAACCATTATGGCAGCAAAATTTCCGAGTGTACGGGAAATGGATTTGTTATGTAAGTAATAGTGACATCGACCTGTTATCAATGTTGTTTTAAGCGCATTCGAATTGACGTATCCACCAAACTGAAAACCGGTTCAGTTTCATAAGAAATCTACCTCAAACTTAGGGTTGTCCAAATATAAAAATCAGTTAGCTTGATGTTTGGAATTATCTGCCATAAAGTATGGCAGACATGCATATAATGATTTAAAGTTACTGTCGTAAGTATATTGATCCTGATACCTCACTGCCCACGCTCAGTGGCGGAAGTTTTGAAAATGATATATTTTTTGGATGTTGATGAATACAGCAATCAAGTCAGAAGATTCAATGAAAAGGCCAACCATTGCTCACAGTGAAGGCGTCGCGAAAAAATAGCACACTAGACGTAGCACGTGTAAATATAAGATCACTTATTCCAAGCTTTGATATGTTTTTAGGCATTAGAGCAGAACCTCCATACTACAGCAACAACAGAGATTTGGTTTAACCTGATTTTGACAGACAAGAAAGAGGAGGTGGAGCATGTTTTTATATCCATACCACATAAAATTTAAAGTCATAGATTGTAACAGTTTCTTCGGATGGCATTAGATCTGCGGTTATCGCTAAAACTAGATAATGAGATCAGTGCGGTAGGTGTTAT